AGAATCCTAGAAGCAGCAAGAGATAAGGGGACAGTCACCTACAAAGGAGTTCCCATCAGACTGTCAGCGAATTTCCCAAAAGAGACCTTACAGGCAAGAAGGGGCTGGAAAGTATTCCAAGTCATGAAAACCAAAGACCTACAACCAAGATTGCTCTATCCATCAAAGCTTTCATTTAGAATGGAAGGACAGATAAAGTGCTTCTCAGATAAGATCAAATTCAAGGAGTTCATCATCACCAAGCCCTTACTATAGGAAATGTTAAAGGGATTTACCTAAGAAAAAGAAGATAAAAAATATGAACAGTGAAAGGACAGCAAACTCACATTTAACAGCAACCACACCTAAAACAAAAACAAACTAAGAGCACAGCTAAATCAGGAGCAGAACCATAGAAATGAATATCACATGGAGGGTTAGCAACAGGGGAGTGGGAGGAGGAGAAGGGGGGAGAAGGTACAGAAAATAAGTATCATAGACGGTAGGTAGAAAATAGATAGGGGGAGGGCAAGAATAGTATAGGAAATATAGAATCTAAAGAACTTGAGACACGTGGTCATAAACTAAAGGGGGGAATGGTGGGGAAGCGGGATGCAGAGTGGAAGGGAATGAAGGGGGGAAATAGAACAACTGTAATGGCATAATCAATTAAATTAATTAAAAGAAAAGAAGTTTCAACATATACAAAAGTAGAGGATCCCAGCATACCTCAAACTGGGCAGTCTGGCCCCCAGCTGCCTGCCACCATACAAGCATAGCATGATGACGGGTGAAGAAGAGAAAGGTTTTTATTAACAAGGTACCCAATTTGAGGGGCCTGGGGGCATCCCTGCTCTAAGCCAACCTCTTCTGCAAAGCACTTGGTCCTAGAAAGACTGAAATCCAAACCCATGCCCAGAAGCTCCCCATCATTCCTTATCTGTCTCTTTGGAACTCAGGATGTCTACACAAATGGGTCTTCATCCTGAGGTTCGCTCTCTGGGGTGTACACTTGCAGGTTCCAGCATCGTCACCCCCTCACAGCAGCTGTCTCTCTCCCTGGAGCACTGACAGATCACTCCCGATGGTTGTGAAGGGGAAGTTCCATCTGTGGGGCCCTGGCACCTGAGGCTACCTGTGCCGCTGGGATGAACTTTCCCTGGCTGGTCTGCCTCTCAGGGTGAGAAAGTGGGAGCAGCCCAGGACCTGTGAGCAGTGCCACATAGGGTCATACCATGCCAAGGCCCGGCTCCCAACCAAACGTGCCCCGGTGTGAAACTCTCCCTCTGTGAGCTCTCATGCCCATGGGAGTCACAGAGCCACCAGTGGGCCCAGGGTCTGCAGGTCCTGCAATCACTACTGTGCCCCACTCCGATGGAGAGGGAGGCAAGGACGAAGAGAGCATTTCTGCACACTTTGTTTCAAGTCCCCTCCCCAAATCCACATGCTGTGAGAATGTCCCTGGGTCTATCAGTTCTAGCCAAAGCCCACTACATGCGTCAGCCTGCAGGGTGTCTGCCTTTTCAACCAGTGACACTCCTGTCTGCCATTCTGCCAGCTCCCCAGTGTCTGACCCTCTTCCAGTCAACATTTTGCAGAACGGGGCAGGCTCTAGGCACACACTGGGGTGCAGCTGTCTGTTTGCCCCCAGACAGGTTGTCTTCTGGCCACACATCTTGTGACCTTCTCAGGCCACACATGCTCCACGCAGCCAGCATCACGAGCTCACCCATTGTTTACCTTCCTCCAGAGCACGGAAACCTGTCAATATCTGGTGTTCCAAGTTCTCCCTTTTGCTCAACTCTCCAGTCACTATCTGTCTGAGCCCGTTTTTGTTGGTGTGGACACCAGTAAGTCCTTTACCTGATTATCCCCACCACACTGGTTTCACCTCAGGCTGCACAGGACCAGTGTCTCGAGTTACCTTCAAGAGGTTATAAAAGTGAGTTCTATACTCAAGCCAGAACTCAAACCCGGCTCCCTCCAAGGCCAATGCTCCCAGTACTACTCAATTGTCACTCTTGTACGCACCCGCCCCCCTCTGCCAAATTCATGGAGTCCCAACCCCCACTGCCTCAGAATGGGACCTTGTCAAGAGGGTAATTGCGTAAGTTATTAAGATGAGGTCATAAGGGTAGCCTCCAATCTAATTGAACTGGTGCCTTTATAAAACAGGGAAAATCGGACAAACAGATCATGTGAAGACGAAGGCAGAGCTTGGGGTGATGGTTTTATATGCCAAGGCCAAATTGCCAGCAAACCACCAAAAGCTAGGGGAGATTCATGTTAGTATTCTTCACAGCTTTAACTTATCTGAGTTCTAGCCTCCAGAACCGAGATAGTAATTGTTGTTTAAACCACTCAGTCCAGCAATAATAAACTAATATGGTATCTTGTCAACAGCACCAAGTCTACCCCCCCACCCCATTTAAAAATATGGATTTAAATGTGTGGAACCTATAAAACAGAACAGTAAGTTGGTATTTGGATTATGCTATTCTTTCTAACTTCAGGTCTCAGTTAAAAAAAAAAATTAAACTTCGAATCAAGCAAACACATACCAGAATGGTTTAGTTTTTAGTTTTATTTCAGATTAAAGTGCATTTCTTTAAAATACTTCAACATCCAGTTTCAATTAGCAAGTGATAACAGTCAATTCTCAATAGTTCATGGAAAGTTTTATTGTGAATCGTTAAGATTCCTCCCAACCCATTCATTCATAATGAACCTGAAATGCTGTATTAGAAAAGGGCCATCTGCTACAAACACTGTATGAAGCATTACACATAAAACTGACAACACCCTTATTTCAAAAATACTAGCTCAGTTAACTGAGGAATGAACAAGTACTTCTGTTAAGTTTCAACTTAAATTATTTGACTTACCAAATATAAATACTTTCTGAATGCAAAACTAAGCTCTCTTAGGAAGTTTATCAAGTCATGAGAAGAAAAATATTACAGGGCTAATTCATGTAATATTTTTATACATGATTTGGCTTCTCTCATCTTCTTGTAAGTGCGTATTAGTCAAGTCTATCCACAGGAGGTAGTGTTTAGATTAAAACTAATCCAATTACTCACCAACACAGAAAGCAAACTGTGGCTTAACCAGTTAGTGCCAGATGCTGTCCTCTGGCACATCAAGGTCCATTAATAGCCATGGCAAACACATTGATTATATATATTATAGTTTAAGGAAAAGAAAAAGTGCTCCTAAAAAGTATTAGCATCTCTTAGAATATTGTGTATTTGAGCAATAGTGAGACACAAATGAAATCAGGGGAATCCAATCCATTTTATAAAGTAAAATTTGAATAACAGCAACAGAAATGAAGGAAGACCCCCTTCTGCCAGCTAGAAGCACATAACCAAACTGACAACATGCCATGTGTGAACAAAACTATCCTTTGCAACAGGAATTGGCCAACTTTATATAATGGCCAGACAGTAAATGTTAGGTAATACAGACCAGTCAGACTACTAAACTCAGTGTAGCAGGAAAGCCAACAAAGATAATCAATGCAAAAACCACAGCTGTATCCCCATAAAACCTTATTTACAGACACTGAAATTTTAACTTCACATTTTCATGTGCCACAAATATTTTTCAGCCATTTAGAAAATGTAGAAACCATGCTTAGCTCATAGTATATTTTTAAAAAGGTATCATGATGTAATTTACCATCTTCTGCTCTATAAAACTATACTAGATAAGACTGCTATCTTTGCTTTTATATTTAAAAGTGACTGTTCCTAATTCCATTTTTCTATTTCAAAGTTCCCATTCTATAAAAATACTTTTAATGTTCAATTAAGCATCATAGTAACTTACACTATATTCCACAACACTACTTTGAAGGTAAACTTTCACCTTATGTGCATTTTATCCATTTAAAAACGAATGCTGCCTTTTGTTGAAAAATTTATCATTTATCAGCACATTAATCTTTACCAGCATATAAACCTGTTGTCTAGTAAGTTGTTTTAACCCACGAGTGAAAAACAGTATGCCGTGGCCTAAAGATAATGTTTACTCTGTGTTAAGGACAAAAACTAGGTAGGTTTTTCTTCACTGTGACATCAATTTAAATACTGTCTTCAATTTTTTTGTACTCTCAGGTAAAAAAAGATTTTCTTGTATTCTAACAGTGTATTTCAGGGGAGTGAGGGTTTACGGCTTGGCACTTCATGTTTGAACTGTTCTTGGTGAAAGGCTTGGTATATGAAGGAGAAAATGGTTAAGATCACACTGGAAAAATCTAACATTCTATTCTAAGAACTGAATAAACACTCATAATTCTGTGAGACTGCTGTTCCACTAAGTATCTATACATCTTCAAATTCACATGAACTCAGATTTTAATGGATACTTTCAAAAAGCAACACACAAAGCCTGGCATGTAACATATGTATTAATCAGGTCACCAGAAACCACCAAAGCCAGATTTGTTTTACAGACCAAGCAGTCAATAAATTTTGATTAATACATTACTTAACTGCTGACTATATTTTGATAACATTTTAAGTGCTTTGGATGAGGGGAGCTCTTACAAAAAAAAAAAAAAGTATTTAAATGTGAGGGTAATACAATGTTTTAACAAAATGCCAAGAAAAACTCATTTTTTAGAGAATACCATTGGTCAACCGTCTTTGTAACTGCACTTTACAATGGGAATTTCAACCACATAACACTTATTTTGGCATTGCTAGCTTTTACTGCCAAATTAATCTCAGGGGTGGTCTGTTATCAGTGTTTATGAATAAAATAATGAAGTCCCATGACTTAGAAGACTCATTTAGAGACAAAATGTCATCTTGAATATTTTAAAATTTACCTTTATATATATATGAAAATACAACACAATCCACACATAACCGTAGGACTCATTGTCCAAAATGCTTAGTAAGACTCCTTGAAACATCAAATACTTCACTACTTGCCTACTTAAAAACATCAATCTTCCATACTAAAAAGGCTCCAAATGAGGCCAAATTCTACTTTTTTCTTTACAATCTGAACTTTAAACTGAAGTATTCAAGACCAGTCTTCTCCGTCTCCAATTCATAAATTTGAAAAAGTTTTTTTTTAAAAAAAAAGGACTAGCTTTTATTTTTTGTGGCAATAATTCTAAGAACTTAAATGTGCTTGGGCTATCAAAACCGAACTCACAGCTGAATGCTTCTTCAGTCTACCTACAAGTATAATCTGTAGACATCAGTATTTTGTATGGGTCATGTTAGGTTTTTTGAAATGAATCATCAGGCTCCACCACAGACCTACTGAATCAGAATCACCATTTTCACACATTAATGCAAGTTTGAGAAGCACTGTGTTAAAAGTAAAAACTTCTGTTTGTATAAAAAACACAAGACGTTTCTAAAGGCTTGAGAATAAATAGGACATGCGTTGTATAAATGAGCAAATAGCTCCTTCCCTCGTACTCAAGTCTTAACCTAATAACATTTACAACTGATCTCCCTAAAAAGTTGATAATGAAGAATATGAAATGGAACCTAGGCCTTTCTTACTAGACTACCAAGTCAAAATTGGAAGACATGGCATTGAAGGAAAACATGACCCACTCCTCTTCTGTTAAATTTTCACTAACCCAGCTTTTTAAACAGCACTTACAGTTTTAGTCTTTCCTTTACCTTAAAAAAAAAATTCTACTTGTATACTTTGTACACCTATTTTCCCCTAATTTTGTTTTCTGCTCTGCCATTTTAATTTTAAGCAATATACAAGCTAACTTTCTTAGCAGTCATGATTCTTTAATATACAGAATTCCCCAACTATCTTCAAGCTGTACAAAAATAAAAATAAAAATAAAAATAAAAATAAAAATAAATCCATGGGCAACGTCATGAATTCCCATGCTCTCTTAGTGTTCAGATTTAAATCTTATTTTTTGTAGTATTATCCAAAGCATGATTACTTAACCTGACTAATCCCTTACTGTATCGAATAGCAAAAGCCACACACTGTTCAACAATGGCTTTTCAAACTTGTTCAAATAGCAGGGAATTTTTGATAGGCTCATTAAAATAGTGAAAATTTAAATCTACTACGAAATCTACTTTGGAACATAAAAAATTATACTATGCTTCTGCATGCAATTAGATTCTTTTCATAAATGCATAATAAGAGATCACATCTGAGTGTTATGAATATTTGTCGTTTGTTTTATTAACCATTAGAAAATATTTGAAAAAGCTGATTTCACTTTAATAGTGAAACAACACAATGGAGCTAATCAAGGAACATTAGTGCATTTTGCTATCCAGAAATCACCCAGGGAAAAATTTGCAGAAAATTTTAAGGCAGGAATATTGAAAATAAAGTTCCTCAAAGATACATTTATATCAATGATAAAGACTTAGCTAACAGTTTTTGCCCTCAAGTATTTTAAAATATATCCTTGTTGAATGACAATGTTTTTCAATTAATATCTGTGACTGTATCAAATTCAATGATCTAAATAATAAATGATAAATGTTAATCATTTTGGTACAGTTTTCTGCTATACTGTTCATTTCCCAAGACCTTCATTCTAACACCAAGTAAGTCAGGTTCACACAAATATTAAAATATGCAGTCATGAAATAACTGACTCCTCCAAACACACATATACACTTGTCCACTAAAAACTTATATGCCTCTTTACTGTCATACATTATTTGTGCAATAACAGACAATATAAGCTGCAATTATAATTGTTAAAAATATTCTCATTTTTCATTAGTTACTTCTTCAAGTTACAATCCTCAGTTCAATGGTCCTAGAATTGCTTTTAAACCCATCCTTGGTATGTAATTATCAAAGTTAGATTCCAAAATATTTGTAATGATAATGGATTTACGATGACAAAAAACGCTAACCTTTATTGTGGATGGATGATGGTCCCCTTCTGAATATAGGAGCTAAATGAGACACAAGGATTAAACCTTCTATAACTTGAATACTGTGTGCATTTTCAAGTAGGGGCTAGCTCTGAATCCAGTATGAAAATGAGATTGCTCATTCATTCTACTCAGAGAATAAATTAGAGATATTGTCATTATTTTAAAAGTCAAAACAAATATGGGAAGTCAGGCACTAATCTAGTCAGTAAAATTTATGAATTTTTAATTACATACAGCTTATTTTTTAAAAGTAGGCAAAACATACATATTTCAAAGGAGTTTTAGATTTCTTCCAAGTTTGCTTTAGGTATGGATGAAAAGAGTAGATAAATTCGACATTTCTTATAATCCAAGTTCTAATGAAAATATCCTAACTCTCCATTAAAAAGAAATGTAAAGAGGCATGCTTTCTAGTGGCTGACACCCTCTTCCAAACCAAAAGGATACAAAGTATATATACAAGTAGCAAACTTGTCACGGAACATTCTCATATTTGTATCACTTGAGTCGGTTCTGGTTACTTTAGAAAATAAACTCATGTTTTAACTAAGAGTATTTACTAAGTAGAAAACTATTTGCTGTTTTATTTGGGAATACAGAATCCTACAAACACCTGCAGCAAGTCCATGAAGCACTTCCATAGCCCATACTGATATATCAGTACTGAATATATACAAAATATGTCTCTATGAAACAAAACAAAGGTATTCACAAGAAGTTACAGAAAGTCACACAATTAATGAAAGTTGAAATTTATAAATTAAAAACACTGTAATTTATACAGAATGTACAAGTAGTCATGCACTTTAAAATGAATACTATGTCTCATGAGTACATTTTCACAGGCAAATGATGCTGCACAAATATTTGCTAATGCAAATAAATGAGTATCTTAGTAAATAAATTCTGCTCTAATACTTTAACCCAGAAGCTGAAACTTTTGGTATTTTTCTTGAAAGTTGTCCAAAGTTGACATCTGTGAAAGCATTCTAATTCTTTTACATAGGACATAAGATGTTTTACCAAGAACAAATCTCTTAAACCGCAGGCACAACAAATATAAATAAAAAAATCAAGTATAAACACCTTTTATCAGTTGAGGGGGAAAAACCCAAATAATTTCCAATTTTACTTCAAATAAGGTTTACATAAAATGTGTCATCAGAACATGCATGAGTTTAAATGCAATAAATGTATTCTTGTTTCTAGTTTTGCCTTCACATTTCAATAAGATATTTAAACGTTTGAAAAAGTATGCATAGCAGCCAAGAAAATACATACTACAGAAAAAAATGACCTTACATAATAAACATGAGCCATCTCCCTTCAGGTTCTAAAATGTTACCAACTTTGCAAATGTTCAGTCTGAAATTATGCTACATTTAAAAAATTTTTATGAATCAAGAAACTCAGTGATATTAAAAAAGAACCTTAAATTTTCTCTTAAAATACTAAACAGCATTATCATGGGCTGGTGACCTCCAACGTGACTGCAGATTTTTTATTATGGAGTTTGCCATGCTACCAAGTTTCTCGTGCATTTCGAACAACTGGCTTCCTGAGTAATTATGAAGATCCTCTGAATCCAGCTGAAGAGCAAGTGCACTAACCTGTGCCACAAGATTTTTACATAATGGAGTCTCTAAAGCAATAGGATCAATTAAATCTAAAAGAGAAAAAAAAGGCACAATTAGATCTATTTCAGATAAAACTTAAATTGTATATATCTCCCTTCCAAGTTAATAAGTTTATGTGCCTAAGATTCAAACGGAAACTTCAGGCTAAAGTATGTACCCGGTTCCTCAAGAAATCAGACATCAGGAAAATCTATGACAGCTTATTCTGTACCATTCAAGAAATTGCCAGACTACTTCATTTTTATTAAAAGTATGACCATAACATAATACTTAGTTCATATACTTACTTTAGACCTCAGTGAAGTAGAGTTGACAATTAGAAAATAGCAACTAGACTTTACTTGAAGTAAAATGAGTTAAGTACTTGGCAACTAGTGCAAAAAAGAAAAACTTGTATAATTCAAAAGGCATAATATTAAAACTAAAAGCATAATAAATTCAAGAAAGTCAGCTGCTCTTGTAAATAAAATAATGTCACTTTGCTAAAATATACCTGAAGCAAGTCTTTCTTCATCAGAAGAGAGAGGTTTATTTTCAGTTCCATTTACATTTTTCTCAGAAATATCAAAAACTGGAATCTCTTCTAATCCACGAGACTTCACCTTGATTATACATTCAGACCAGTAAAAACAAAACCAAAACCAACAAATTCAGTTATTTTTAATAGGGCTAACAATAGTACTAACACCAGAATAGAATATGATAGCCCATCAAGTTATTATTAGATTAGCAAATACTGCTAAGAAACTATGTTCTACTTAAAACACACAAACAACTACATGTGATTCTTTAAAACATTATGCTCAGTGAAAGGAAGTCATAACAGGCCACAGTTTATATGACCCCATTTTTACAAAACACCTGCAAAAGGCAAAGCTACAGAGGTAAAAGATGAATGACTGCCTAGGGGGTTGGAAATAAGGATGCTAATAGCTGTAAAGGTTTCTTCCTGGAGTGATAAAAATGTTCTAAAATCAGACCACAAGTGGTGGTTGTATAACTTTGTAAACATTCTTTAAAAAAGAGCACTTAATTGTGTGTTGGGGGGGAGGGGGTGGCAGCAATGAATTTTACAGTATGTGGATGTCTCAATAAAGCAGCTTTTAAAAAATTATTTAATTTTTAGAGACAATTCGCCGAGCCCACGGATCACAGAATATACTTCACAAACTAAATTCTTGATCTATGAGACTGAAAATTAGTAATACAGTTTTGGGGGTTTTAAAAAGCTAACAGAGGTTTTTTTTAAATCACAAAGTAATTTGTGATTAAGTATGGGACTTTCAAGTCTTCAGAAGTTAGCAAACTCCAGTCTCAAAAATTCTAATATACAATGCTGGTTTTCACCTTTAATAGACCTCATAACAATTTTGCATGTTAATAGATACATAAAAGACCTCTGGTTCCAGCAGTCTGTGAACCCTTCTGAAATGACATATTTTCTCTCTCTCTCTCTATATATATATATTTATTTAAATTTATTTTTAGAGAGGGAAAGGGAGGGAGAAATATCAATGTGTGGTTGCCTCTCAAGCGCCCCCTACTGGGGACCTGGCCTGCAATCCAGGCATGTGCCATGACTGGGAATCCAACCAGCGACAACTGAGCCAACACCAGCCAGGGCTCCATATATACTTTTTTAAGGGGAAGAATCTTGGTTTTCATCAGAAACTCTGAAAACATGCATGACCCAAAATGTTTATGTGCAAAAAAGTCACAGAAAGAACAAGTGTAAAGAAAAAAGTCATAACTGTGTTGGGTATCAAAATCAAGATACTATTAATTACAAATCAGCAAAATTTTTGTAAATGTTTCTATTTTAACACCAGGGTTTTAAGAACAGCAACCATGAAACCAATTGCCGATTTTGTATAAATGAATGAGAGAAGGTGACAGAACAGAATTCAGAGTTGAGAGGTGCACTGCGTGAGACCAGTTCAAAATAAATGACCAAGATTTCTCTGTGGAATTATAAAGTGACCTTGTAAGTTACTCTTGACTACAAGGACAGGGAATAAAAGGTGCCATTAAATGGGCTTTTTAAGCATGTATAGTTTAAGAACAAATTTATATAATTGTATTGCTAGATCATTTATAGTCATGTACTAGTTAACAACGGGGATACATTCTGAGGAATGTGCTTGACAATTTTGTTTATGTGATATCACAAAGTATACTCATCTAACCTAGACAGAATAGCCTACTACATAAGTTCGCTGTATTGCTCTATTGCTCCTAGGCTACAAGCCTATAGAGCATGCTCCTACAGAAACCAGTAAAATTAAATCAAGCATAAGCAAAATAATGCGACCAAGAGATATAGTCAAGTAACCTGGAAGACTTTTTCAGAGCAAACTATATTTTCGTATAAGTGAAAAGAGCAGTCTGAAATAACAACAAAGTTTAGTGAAGTAAATACATAAACCAGTAACTGGTCATTTATGATCAAGTACTACACACTGTACATAACAGCATGTGCTACATTTTTGTATGGTTGGTGGTGCAGTGGGTTTGTTCCCACAAACATCATCACAAACATGTAATGCATTTGCACCACGATGTCAGTAGGTGACAGGAACTTTTCAGTTCCATTATAATCTTATGGGACATCACTGTGCAGGCTACTGTCAACAACAACAGCATTAGGGTGGCACAAGGTTATTCATAATATTCATACATGATTTATAGCTAACGTAAAAGGTTTTTTTTGGGGGGGGATGTGAAAGCTTTTACCTGCTGCTCATGATACACTCTGAGAGCCTTTTTTACATTGGACACTTTTGGAGAACGGATAGGAAGAGTTTTTATTTCAGATGCTGTAAGAGTACTCAAATCACCAATTGTTCTTATATTCTTGGCTCTAATGAGTTGTCCCAGTCCTCTTGCCCTGAACAGACAATGAAAAAAAAGGTAGAAGGTCATTGTAGTTTTATATTTATTCTGTTTGTGAGGGCTTATCTAGTTGAGTTTCCTGGTGTAAGTTCAATCATAAATCAATTTATATAGGCCTACCTAACGTCCTGTGGGGACAAGCACAGGTACATTTAAGTTAAAACTAAAAATTTTAATCTGACATATATGCCTGGTTTAAGCAATAGCACCAAAATCAAACTAAACCTAGTGTGTGCCTAACGTTTCACTAACATTATGACTGCTTCACTTTGGTAGATTAACCTTCGTAAACTTCATCTTCCAAATTCATAAATGTTTTAATTACATACAGCTTATTTTTTAAAAGTAGGCAAAACACACATACATTTCAAAGGAGTTTTAGATTTCTTCCAAATTTGCTTTAGGTGTGGAAATATTACTATAGAGTGGAAACACTAATACTCTTACAGGGTTTATACGATTAAATAAGATAATGTACACAAAGAGGTCAGCACAGCACCTGGCAAATAAGTACACAATTTATGTTAGCCATTATGATTTACTGTTCTATCTGGCCCATCTTCTCACCTGAAATTTTATTTCTAAAATGTTTTGTAAAGATACATGTAAGTCAATCCTAAATATGAGAACCTTGATCATTTAAATAGCTTTCTTAAATAGGGTACATCTTTAAGAATAAGCTAGAGCCTAAATAACCACTTACCACATGTTTGATGTAATCTGAGGTAAAATGATGTCAACTGGTGCCATACAGTTCACTAAAGCTGGGTAAATACTTTCTGTTGGGCATGGTATGGATTCTTTAGCCATTTCTGTAATCTTAGAATAAATTTCAAATCCATTAAAGAGAGATAACCTTACTTAAACATGGAATAAATTGCATAAAAACTAAAGCATTTCTTACTAAACACTTCTTTGAGCTCTTAAATTTAGGGCTACGTGATCCTGGGAACAGAAATCCTTTGCTTGAAGTAGTATTATGCTAGATAGAAGGAGAGAAAACAAACTCAGAACCCTAGATAACTACAATTTTACAACTTTATTTCCACAACTTAGACTGCAATAATTTAATATTTTCAGAAGATCTAAAATGTAATAAAGTACATAATTACTTGCAGGGTCATCAATGTCTCCTACCTCCTTTTGTCTGCTTATCAAGTAGACAAAAGAAGAATATATCCAAACGAATTTTCTTAGTTAATTTCAAGACAAATTAAGCAACACTATTCTATGCATACATATACAGCTTACCTTAGACTGTGCAGTAGGTGAAGTTTTAGCAGTTTTTACTGTGGGAGAACTATTTGAAGAATGCGCCCTAACAACAGAACACCGCCGATCAATGTCATCTGCCAATCCTGCTTGATATATTGGATCTGCAAATGAGACTCGGCGAACCTAAAAAACACAGGTCATGTTTTTACTCAACAAAACTAAAGCTTTTAAAGAGAACATCACAAATTCTATTACAAGGTTACCACAAAATAAAATGTAGGTTTAGAACCTCAATTTATTTGACTAGAAACCAACTGCACAAAGCTGTAATTCTCTACACAGGTCATTCCAATAACCTATGTTCTAGAACAATGAAGAGTGAAACAGGGACAGGTGCAGAAACTTAATGAAAGTGCACGTGACAGCTAAAACAGTATAATCCAATTCTACTAACTTTATGGGCTCAACTATTAACTACAATGACTATAAAGAACAGGTAAAAAGGTAGACACAGTACTAAGTGGCCACTGGTGTATCTTCCTAATCTCTGTTCTAAAACTCTTCAGTGCACCAGACTCGGAGCAATTGGGCGGCAATTTTTGTTTCTTAACTCCAGCTTGAAGTTATTTTAATCTCTTCTAACTCTTACAGTATGTTCATTATTTAATATAAACATACAACAGCACTTACATCGTTAAATATGTACATAAATGTTTCCTAGTCTTGATTTCCAAAACAGTTCGCAGATTCTGTATGTGTCTACTATAGAAAACAATATTATACTGTTGCCTAAATAAAAATTAAATATGATACAATCAAATCAGACACAACTAATTTATATTAACAATCTAAAACATACCAAGGACCTGGAAATAAATCCTCACTTATAGTCAATCTACGACAAAGGAGGTAAGAATATATGATGAGGTAAAGACAGATTCTTCAATCGTGTTGAGAGAGAACATGCACGCGCGCGCACACACAATACTGGACCACTTTCTTTTTCACCACATACAAAAATAAACTTAAGATGGATTAAAGATGTAAGACCTGAAACTAAAAATTTCAAGAACAAACTACATGCAGTAAACTCTCTGACATCAGTCTTAGGAATATATTTTTGGTTATACCTCCTCTGGTAAATGCAACAAAGGCAAAACTAATTAAACAGGACTACATTAAACTAAAAAGTTTCTGCATAGCGAAGACATCCACCAACAAAACAAAAAGACAGCCTATGGAATGGGAGAAGATAGTTGCAAATAATATATCTGATAAGGAGGTCTACATACATATTATATAAAGGAACTCATACAATTTTAATACCAGAAAAATAATCCAATTAAAAAATGGGCAGAGGACCTTAACAGAGATTTCTCCAGAAGGCATACAGATGGCCAACAGACTTGTAAGACACTCAACATCACTAATTACTAGAGAAATGCAAATCAAAACCACAATGTGGTACCACATCACACCTGTCAGAATGACTACCACAAACAAATCTAACAAATAACTTCTGGGGTGGGGAAGGAGAGGAGAGGGATGTGGAGAAAAGGGAACCCTGATAACATTGTTGGTGAGATTGTAAATTGGTACAGGCACTATAGATAACAGTATGGAGATTCCTAAAAAAATTAAAACAGAGCTGTCATATAACTCAGCAAAGTCCACCTCTGGGTTATTTCCTAAAGAAAACAAAAACATTTATTGAAAAGATACACACATCATGTTTACTGAAGCATTATTTATAACAGCCAACACCTAGGTGCCCATCAATAGATGAATGGGTAAAGATGTGACATATACATAATGGAGTATTACTCAGCAAAAAAAAAAAGAAATCTTGCCTGCAACAACATGGATGGACCCTGAGGGTATTTATGCTAAGTCAGACAGAGAAAGACAATCACCACCTGATTTTACTTAGCTGTGATACCTAAAAAGACAGACCCATAGTTACAGAGAACAAACTAATGATTGCCAAAGGGGGGGTGGATGAAAAAGAAACATTTTTATTTTAATGTGAATAAAGAAAGAATGCTGGGTACTTAATAGAACTGATGAAAAAGGCCAGTGGGCCAAGCTTGGAGAAGGTATAGGGAATAAAATAAAAGTATAATGAAGACATTAACTGTCAATGCACTGTATCTTCATAAACTTTTCAAGAACTACTCCTATGGCCTAAGTAATTAAAACATAAAATACTTATAAAAAAAAAAAAAAGGAAAAGCTACCAAACCAAAAGAAAGAAACAAAAAACTCAAAACAGGTGATGTCTTTCCACGGACTGATCTCTGAATTCTTAGTATAAAAATTTTTGGTATATCCAGAAAATCTTCACAATATGCTTGCTAAAAGCAAAATTGTTAGGATCATTGTATCTTTACACATGTTTGTATATATGAACAATTTCCTCTACTGTAAATAGTACAATCAATTTAAGATGGTGGTCTTCATAACTGCAGTACTCGTATGACCACACCAAAAATACAACTACGTTACAGAGCCACCCCCCCCAAAATCTAGCTGAATGGAAGTCCTACACCTAAGAATAAAGCAGCCACACCAAGGCTAGTATTAATGGTTTAATGAAGAAAAAATAATTATAAATGAAATTACATCCAGAGCTTGATGAGGGCACAGCCTAAGAAATATTTTTATTTAGACAAGGTCTGGAAATAAAGAGTTTACACAAACACCTGAATGTTGAAATAGCATAATCTTCTAGTACACACAAGGGCTAATTAAAAGCTGCTTTATCAGATTCTAAATTTACTTTTCAATATGTTATAAAAACCACAAAGAAATAAGAAATTCTCATCCATTTTGAAAATGGTAAACAATGTTCATAGTTGTATAAAGGTTTTTAGTGTCCAGGAATACCTGAGTACCTAAGGACTTAAGTATCCTTTTTTGAACACTTGTCTTTCTACCTGCCCTTTTTCTTAGACATCATGGTATACATTACATTCAAAGCAAGTGGTCACAGTAGTCTATATTCTGTCATTCACCAGGTGTCACCATTTGGCCAAAATATTCTAATTAAACATAATATTGAGCCTCAAACCCTTACCTTGGGCATAGGTGATGAGACCTCATCTTCTTGGGGTCTTTTTAGTCCTCTCTTTAAAATGCTGCTGGACGGAGAAGCTGAAGGAGACCAGAAACAGCGTGCCTGCATACTGCTAGGACTGTCAGTTGCTGACAAAAGGAAAGGATCAAATTCGTTTAATTTTTGAGGAGATGTATTATTGTCTTCTGTTATCAGTCCAGAGATTGCTCTTTCAGATGTCAGCGATTGTGATGTTTCCTTCACTTTCTCTGAACTACGGTGAACTTCCGGTAAAACTTCACCATCATTTTCCACTTTCACTTGACTGTCATCTAATTTTATTTCTTCTGGTTTATTAAGTACAATGTCTGCTTCAGTGTTATTAGAATTAACCTTTCCTTCTTCAGTGATTGTCTCAAGGGTGTTAGGAACAAAATTGTCAATTTCTATATTCATTTTGTTTGTTTCCGCTTCTACAGGCTTTGATGCTTCTGTAGTCAAGTTCCTGGTCTCCATTTTACTAATATGGTCAGTTTCTGCATTCACCTCACCAACTGATCTTTCTTCACAATTTTCCATTTCAGATGAGCCTGTATCAGGTTCACTGTTTCTGCCATCTAGTCCCCCAACTGCTGTTTGTTCAGTAACCTCTATGTGAGCTCCTACTTTTACAGGTGTGGTATTATCAGGATGACCAATGGCTGAATTAAATTCCTCACTTACTATTTCTTCACCATTCAGTACTTCAGCTACACTTACTTCAGATTCATCACTTCTTTTCCTCTTTTCCTCTGTTCCCTCTTCCTTAAAAATACCAGCATTGGCATTCTTTTGTTCGGAGAAGTTAACTTCTGATTTATCACCACATTCCACATCCAATTCCACAGCTTCCGCCTCTTCTGGATTGAGTTCTGCTTTTACTTTACATGCATCTGCTTCAACATTAACAATGTTCTCTGTACTTATGTCCTTTTTCAGGGTAGCCTCTGGCTCTCCTTTCATCTCCAAAGTAGAACCTTCTAGTGAATTATCATCTTTGGAGTCACCTAAACATGGGTCAACAGTTTTACATTTTTTATTGGATGGCTCTTGGCGTTCAATAGCTACTGCTTTCTTAGAATCCGTATCACAAGCTTCTTCTTTGAAATTTATTATTTCAGAAGGAAGAGAGTACTGATTATTTTCTTCCAACTCAGTTTCAGGTACAATTAATGAATCACTAACAGTATCATTCTCCTCTTTGAGACCCAAATAAAAATTCACACTTTGATGCTCATCTAAAAGTTTAACCTCAGAGTAGATATCAGCTTTAGAAGTCTCTGACACAGTCAGAGGCATGTGCACATCTATCTTTGTGGTTTCACTGACCTTTACATTGTAATTTTCTCTATTAGTTAACCCAAGGGGTGACTTTTCTTGAGGTTGTGATTTTTCTCCACAGCAATCACAACCTTTAGATCTTCTAACCCTCCTACTTCTCTTGTGTCGGCACTCAGGTGCTTGAAAACTTTTTTCAGAAGCCAAAGAAATGTCCAACACCCCTAGTTTTGAGCATTCTTCCACATTGTTATTTTCTATGGAATCTTGCTTATGTAATCTCTTATTGGCATTTCTAGTCCTTAGATTTAACTCTGATACAGAAGAATTTGAAAAGGAAAGTTCTTCACATTTGTTCATCTTATTTTTTCCTTCGTAAGTATTTGATAGATCACAAGCTTGCAATACATCTGAAGGTAGAACAGAATCTTTAAGAGCTACAGTATTACTTTCATCTTTTTCACAAATCTGAGATTTTATGTCCACCTCAGAACTTGCTTTATAATCATGTGTCTGATTTTCAATTTTTACACATTCTTGTTTTTCTATTTTCTCTTCTTTATCGTCAATGTCAACATTGTCACTGTTTTTGTTTTTCCATTTTCCAGATCTCTTCTTTCTAGAACCTTCTTCCCTTGCCTCAGAACTATCAGATTCAGAGTTTTCGATGCTGGAAAGTAAACCCTGGGATGCTCTTCTTGTTTGATATCGTGTTCGTCCCCTTACTGGTTTCTCAAAGGACTTATCTGTATTGTCCTGGGTAGTAGTATCTCCCTCAGACTTAATATTTTCAAGGTCTAGTTTTCTTCTATTTTTGTCAATTTCAACATTAGTGCTAGTTTCCCCAAAAGTCTTCTGATGTAAATTATCTTTCTCAGTTAAATTTTCCTGTACACTTTGTTCAGGAGTCACTTTTGGCTTAGGTAACACATCATCTTTTACATGTAATGGACTCTTCTGGGGAGTCTTTTCTTCTTCCTTACGTTTTTCCTTTTTTTGGTGATTATTTTCTTTATCTTGGCTATCAGCGGTAGCCTCTGATATATCTGAACGTCTCCTTAAAGATCGTCTAAGGGTCTTCTGATTAGGAGTTATCTGAACATGACTATCTTCATTTACTATTTGATCCGATGGTATTATGGCTGGGGGTGTATTTTCTTTGGATTCCAAATTACTTCCAAAGGTTTTCTCCTCTACAGTACTATTTTCTGATAAAGCATTTTCTATTGTTGGTTTAAGCATTGCATCTTCACGTTCCACTGCAGGTTCAGAGAGGTAACCCTGATTATCTAACACACATTCTGTTTGATTAAGCAAACCAGTTGTGTTATTTTCTAAGGTTACCACGTCTTCAATTGATTCCTGTGTATTTTTCTCCTGATCAGATCTCATTAACAGCCTAGATCTTTTATTCCCTGTTTGTTCAGCTTTACTGGACCTTAGGCCTGTTCGCTTATTCCCGTGCACTATTTTTTCAGAATCAGATCTTGAAAGAGCCACTTCTCTTTTCTTTGCTTTTAGTGGAATGTCTGTTTTAGTCATGCCTTCTTGGTTATTTTTCACTGTAACAGTTGATGTCACATTATTCAAGGGGGACAGACTAAAAGGTCTGTTTTCTGAACTATCAAACTTCTCCAAAGTAATGAAGTTTTGCCTTCGACTTGTAGGCTGTAGTAGTGTTCCAGAAATGGTAGCCTTAGAAACTGAGCTACTACTGCTGGCAACAGAAGTGTTTTCTGCACTGGATGCACATTCAGTCGACATTTTCTTTGATGAAATTAAAGCCTTTTTCCTGGCATCATCATTATTGCTCAGTATTCCTAGACTGATCTCTTCAACAGAACCACATTCATTATTTGAAAGGGAAGTCTTTTCAAGATGTTCTTCCATACCACAGTTTTCGGTAACATCTTGAGTAATGGCAATGTCACTCTTCATTTGTTCCTCCTGCACAGAAATGTACATACATGAAGATTAACCTGCAAACAAGTCTGCCTTATTGGAAAAAATTTTAGTGTGAAATCAGTAATCTAAAATGCAATCATACACTTTCAAAATTTTGCAGATATTCTAAAGGTGCTGGTAGATGCCCATTAATTTGCTTCTAACCGTAAATATTCAATAAATCCAAATACATTTAAAAACCACCCCCATGCTCACCCAACCAATGACTATAACTATGCTAACATCTGCTAGTGGGAGTTAAGATTTTAAACAATTCTTAAAATGAGTATGAGAGGCCATAATGGAAGAAGAGTTACTCGAAAAATCCTGAAATATAAAATGCCAAATATACCTTAAGTATTATCTTGGAATCTTCCTTTGATTTTTCAGGTAAACCAGGAATTTCCCTGAAATAAATATGAATTAGAATAGTTTTTAAAAACTTTAAAAAACGGTTACTTCAGTGGCTTCCATACTTACATAGACTCTTCCTGAGTATACTGAGAAAATAATGCATCTTGTGAAACATCCAAATTATTATACATGGCAGGAATATCACACCTGAAAAAGATTTTGTAAGTTCAAAATTTGCCATTCTTACAATTAAAAATTAAAACCACAGTTCTATATCTAGTTCTCGTTCAAGAACAATATGAAATTAAGGTTTAGATGCTTATTTTCCATGAAACTATCTACATAAACTTACGCTCCCACATTACCTCAATAAAGGAATTCAGTTTAGAAACATTAGGCACATTACTAAGAAGACTTTATACATAATTAAGTGTAGTTATGTATGGTATATCTTCTCAGCATTAAAATATAGTAAACATAGTATCTTAGTTCTAAAGACTAAGTTATAGTCTGTGGCATGAAATCCAAGTGCGATCACAAAATACCCAATTCAAGATAACAGCACTACAAACCTCTTTGTTTTGAGTACTTCTTTCTGATGTTCAGTTAGTATTCTTTCCTTTGCTTCTTTTCCTTCTGGAGGTATAAACACAAACTCAATAGACTTTTCTTCTTCCAAAGGCATTTCACTCTTTGTTTTGGGGGACGAAGATTCTAGTTTCAACTGCAAATGTTAAAAAAGTAAATGTACATTTGAGTTGCCAACTTATTTTTCTAATACTTCCAATAAATCTCTCTTCCAAAACTTCGTAAGGTTTTTGATAGTGAGAAAGAAGTTTCTAGTTTAAATCCATACTATAATTCCTGATTAATAACAATTAGTACACTATCCCTACCTTTCACTGTCTCTAACACTCAGAAAATAAAAATTATCACACCACTTTAAAAAGCAGCCAAGTGTGTGCTTACCAATACAGCATGGGCAAATGTTTTTCAGGGCAACGCACAGAAATCAAGATGTTTGGCAGGAAGAGTGTATCTGTGGCTCTCAAGGTGAACCACGAACTAGTGAAGTTTCACTTGCCAAAATAATATGCCCTACATACCAGTGACATTGGTACTATAATGTTATCTTCACAAATTTTAAGCATGGTTATTGTTTTCATTCTACTTCATCACTGCCACAAGACTACATTGGAATTTTCTTTAAAAATAACTTCCACTTTTACCAGGACCATGACCTCAAGGTTCTAGAATATCCTTTATTAAGAGGTCATGGTCATGGAAAAGAGAATTATTGCCTCAAAATTGGTTAAATGGCAACTAGCAAGATATTTAGTTTTAGATTTGAGGTTAAAATAAATTTCTTACCTAGGCATTTTACTCCTAGTCAGTAAGAGAAGTTCTAAAAATATTTTTCCTCTTATACTAATTATGTTTTATAGCTACTCCTATCTAGTTTAATTCCATCTCAAAGAGGCTGATACATAGCGGGTGCTAAGTACTATGCAGACTTAACTTTACAAAGAAATCATTTCCCAAAGCCTCTAGATTATCTTGCACTCCTAACATAGTCTTTCTGGACCAAATTCATATTCTCCTGCAATCTCATCTTTTCTTAGTCTTTAATAGCATTTTCTTCCAATTAGAAGTTGTGTGTTTTCAAGCTATCACATACTTTAAAAGATCTATGAAATAAACTCTGGAAAAACATACGTTGACTGGTGATTTCATCTTTTCTTTTGTACCCTTTGGCTGTGTCAGAAAAGCATCTCTTTTTCCACTTGACTTTCTGTCCATGCCACTTATCTTCATACTTAATTGTGAATTTTCTGTCTGTTTGATGACCAAAAGCAAACAAACAAAACCCCACATTTCGTTAAGTTAGAACTGTTCTATTTTATTTCTCATTTTCATGTTTTAAAAATTCCATTGTGATAAATATTCATTTCAAATTTCTTTTGAAATTATTCAACCCTACTAAAATCACGTCAAAGAAAGGCACTAATTCAGTAACAGCACAGAGGTTTGGTATCTCCATTATATACTACAGCTGTGTTTCAGCACATTAATTTTTATGAATTCTGAAAATAAGATACACCATATTAAATATTATAAAAATAAATCAAATTACTAGACTCAAATACCCCTCCTACTGCTGGAAATAGTTCTAAAAAATTTAAAGCTATAAAAGTTTAAACATTCAACAATAAAGCATACATGATAATATTAACCATAATGTTCTTCCCAACAGACTGTATGGGTTTCTCAGGCCCAGTTACAGTGAGCAATTCTCAAATCTTAATAGTCACTTTAAATTTTAGCCCAAAACCAAAACTAAATAGAGTACTCAGCTTAGCTATACCACTTTTTTCTTTTACAGGTTCTAAACAAAGAACCAGACTACACTTACTGAAGAAAAAAACTGTCTAAGGATGTTCTACCTCACATGGTACACTGTATCCATGCCTTCACTCCTTAATCTTCTTATAGCAATCAAGTATCATTAGCCAAAGTAACTCTGGTCCAAACAGATAAAAGCAAAGCGGTATTTTTCTGACAGAAGAAATGATTCAATGGAAAGAAATGAGAAAATAAAAGGTAGCTCTTGCTTAGATGTGGACAAGTTAACTATTACTCCTAGTTTATCTAAAGCAATATTTAAGCATGTATTTTAATAACTATAGCCTTTGCAAAACAGTATCCATGAGATGGCGCAGTCCAAGAGATCATTAATGAACAACTACCAGAGATTATTTACACAGGAACCTATGGTGAAATGTACTTGCCCTGGATTAATTGCAGTCTCTCAAGCCAGCCAATTTGAGTTTATGGAAAAAATACTGTATTATAAAGCATCTATATTCTGGTTGTACTTGCTTACCACTTCAACCAGACATTCTATCTAGGTTTTTGTCCTTTTAAAAATTGCACTGAGGATTTTAATGGCAGGCTGTGACACATGCTCGCATGAGGGAAATCATGATGCACACTGAAGGACTACCAGTCAGATGGCAGTGTAGATAAACATGGCTCGCCCTCTTGCGCAACCACATCAAAACTACAACTAAACTATAGAACAAGTGTCATTCAGAACTGTCAGAGACTTAGGTGAAAGAAAGCTCACAAACTACAAAATTAAAGAGGAAAACCACATTGAGATGGGCGGGAGGGACAGAGATGCAGAATGTGCTGGTCCTGTACCCATGTGGGGTAGAGAAAAATCAAGATGGTTATCTCACGAATGAGGGCCCCAGCCCCACATCAGGGTCCATAGCCCAGGGTTCCAGTGCCAGGAAGGTAGGTATCCATAACTTCCGGCTGTAAAAACCAGCAGGAATTGAGGCTGTATAAGACAAAAACTGATGGAATCCCAGACAGTTCCTCTTGAAGGGCCCATGCACAGACTTACTCAAACTCACTCCATCTTAAGCTCCTGTGTCAGGGTAGCAGTTTCAAAGGCATCAGAAATATATAGGAAGGAAATGAACTGTCCGGCATCATGGCAAAACCTGGAGGGCAGCTTTCTCCCAGACAAAAGTGCTACAGAGGCCATTGTTCCTTTTCTGAGCCTGTCCCCAACAGAAACTCAGAACCAGCAGGGGAAACTTTATATGAGACTCTATCAACCTGGCTCACACTGTTTGCCCCACCCTGATGATTACCTGAGGCTCTGCCCCAACCAACTTTCAGGCCCATCCAAATTTTTCCCATACAAATGGCCTGTCTTGACCCATGCTTCAAAATTTCCTAAATTCCCTCAAACAAGCAGCACGTGGCTTCAACAAGCCTCCTACCTCCTCTGGCTGAGTTACCGCAGACCCAGCTCTACTAGCAGCTGACCTTGGTACACAGCTTGGCCTCTTCTGGACCAGAAGAGGTCCTCTGTGGGCTCTTCCAAGCCTAGCACAAGTAGCTGCTATATACGCAGACTGCTTTTTAGCTTATGTTGGGTGATCCCAGACAGAAAACAGGCAATGGCTGACCTCTCAAAAGAAACTTTGCACATGAAAAAGGACTGGCAAGAAATATTCAAAGTGACGAAAAGCAAGCACCTACAACCTAGATTACTCTACCAGCAAAGCTATCATTTAGGACAGATAAAGAGCTTCCCAGACAAGAAAAAGCTAAAAGAGTTCATTATCACCAAACTACTATTATAGGAAATACTAAAGGGTCTTATCTAAGAAGACCAAAAACATGAACAACAAAATGGCAATACACATTTGTCAAAACAAAATAAATAAGTAAAACAAAAACAGAATTATAAATACAGAGAGTTTCGATGGTTGCCAGATGGGAGGGGGACCAGTGGATGGGTGAAAAAGGTGAAGATTAGTAAGCACAAATTGGCAGTTACAGAATAGTCATGGGATGTGAAGTACAGAACAGGGAATGTAGTAGCTAAAGAGCACATAGGTATGACTCAGGGACATGGACAACAGTAGGGGGATTTGGTGTAGGGGTACAAAGGAGGAAAAACTAGGAAAATGTAGTAGCACAAATGGTTAAATATAATTTTAAAAGTTACTTGAAACCCAATAAACTAATCAAACATCATTCAAAATTGAAAGAAAGAAACAAACAAACAAACAAACATCTAAACTTACTGCATCGGAATATGGTCCACTGGATTCCTCCAAAATGTCAACGTTTTCAAAACCAGGCAACAGAAGCAAAATTTTTTGTTTGGCTTCTCTCAGAACTGGTCTTAAAAAAAAAAAAGCAAAAACAAAAACCCCATAAATATATATACCTTGAATCAAGTAGTACAGCTGAGTATTGATTATGTTAACAAGAGCACTTTAATTATAACTTTAAAGTGGCAAATTACATCTCTTAAAGACTATTTCTTACTCTACATACACCAAACTAGGAGAAATTACTAGCAGTATTTAAATTTTTTGCTAAAAAAGTATTTGCTAAAATACTTCAGTTTCCAAATTTTCTCTTTAAAAAAACTTCTCAAATTTTCCAAATTTTTGTTGTGGAAATTTCAAACAAATGTAGACTATTACACATTAGGTACCCGTGTACACAGATTTAATGCTTATCAATTTCTTGCCCTTTGTGTGTCTTTTATTAAGTTAATTTCAAATTGGTTTCTGTGTTCCTAGAACCAACAGGATATGACTCTAAAAACCAACCAAATAATGTTTAATAATTACCATGTACTCCACATAACAGTATTTTGACTAAGGAATCTCCTGCAGTAATTCCTCATAAAAAAGTTATGTTTAAACCCCCAAATTACATGACCACAATACAGTAACTAAATAAGAGTTGTGGTTAAGCATACTTTAACTCTTCAGGATAAACCAACATCGTCACTTTAGCAAATGTGGCATTCCAGAACTGAGCACTCTGTTTTCGAATGTGTTTATTCTTGTGCAAAAACATTATGCATAATAATGGAGAGAGCTGTTCAAGAAGTTCACTGTCATAAGTTCCAGTATAGCTGAAGTGTAGACAAGTAATCATTTCTCCTAGTAGCTTTTCTAACTAGGAAAAAAAAAAAAAGTTTATTAGGGCAACACTGGGAAATGTTACTTTTAAAGCAGAACCCCCACCCATAAAGCATACTAAATTTAAAAACTCACAGAACATGTGACTATCTCCATTTTTAAAATTCGAATGGCTTTTTAAAAATTCCCATCCATCGCCTTAAATATACCTACTCATTATACCCTGATAAATTATCATTTGAGTTTGATTAGTATCATAACCTTATTTCAAGCTTGTTTTTTATTAACAGAAATTAGGTTTTCATATCAATAGATTAATAGTGTATAGATACAAATGTAAAACACTGAAACCAATTACCTACACATAAAGAGATGAGATAGGAGTGGATGAGTTATATGAATGTAAAGCAACATTATGAAATCCTTCTTTAAAAACACTATCCTTTGAAGAAAGTAAAAACTTTGTTAGGAAGCAGACTAAGAAAAAGTGGTTGAGAGGCTATTGCTCAGTGCTTCTCAAACTATGGGCCTTGAACCAGTAGCATCAGTCATCACCCGGGAATTTGTAACACAAATTCTCAGGCACCAAGAAACTCCAAGGCTAAAGCCTAGAATTTGTGTTTTAACAAGACTTCCATATAATTCTGGAGCAGGTGCAAATTTGGAGTCCACTGGGATAAAGCATATGGATTTTAGAACTGGGAAAAAGTCCAGAGAGCCTCAATTAATTCTGGCAGGCCCAGGTTCTTCATTTTCAAACTCTATGAAAGTAGCATTACAAAACTAACTATCCTTTGATTATTTCTATGTCATGTTATTACATGTGCATTAAAGTTGAAGTGTAATAAGAATCCCTTTTAAAATAAGCAGGATTATATTTAAGGAAGACAATCATTTAAACCCTGACGCTTTTCTCAGCATGAAAGCAAGTTTGTGGATAATTGCTGATTTTTACCTTATTGTTCATACAACCATACACTTTAGGAACTTCACCAAGCCTGTGAAGAAAACATGCAATACCATTTATATTATATAAGGCTAAACCTAAAAGTATAAAAATGCAGCCATAAAAATGAGACATGCCTGTATAGTGATATAAAAAGGAGCCCCAACACTTTAAAGAAACATCAAACTGCCAAACATTAAGTATGATACCGACATATCTGTAAAAAACAAATCACAGAAAATAATCTGGAATAAACCTCAAAAGTATTAATACCAGTTACTTGTTTTCTGTACCTTAAAAAAAAAGTATAAATTATTTCTGATGAAGCTTAAGAACTATAAGATTCCCAAAAAGCTAATAAATTTGAAGTTCTATTTTATACTTTATCATTTCTTAAAACTTTCTGAGTTTAAAGGCATTACCTGTTTTAATGCAATGTAAATTAATACAAAATTCGGGAAGTAAATCAGAAACTTAAATGTGATTGGCTCTTTGAACCAATTTCACTTGTACAACATAGTTCTGCAGAAATATTGGCAAATGTTTTATGTACAAATATGTTCAACTGCAATACTGTTAGTTAAGAAAAGGCTAGAAAACAAGTATGTCCACCAACAGGTACATGGGTAAGTCTCATAAAACCCTACGCAGGAGACATTAAAAAGAATGAGATTCTTAGGTGTATGATGCAGGCAAGACGTATAAAAATATACTGAGTACACACCATATACTTAACTGCAAACAGTATGTCAAATATATCCATCATACATTTAATCGGTATGCTTGTTTGTACTAACAAATCTAAAAAGCTATGCACTAAATTGAAAAGGGGGTTGGACTAGCACGTAAAATAAAAGTACTACTAATCCCTGCCTTATATCTATGTATGATTTCAATTATCTTTTTAACAAAAAGAATGGTTTAACATATTACCCTCTCCACAAAACCACAAATTACTACCTGTAACAAGGTTCATAGGGAAACAAGCTGGCTACTTAGATCTGAATGATATATATATATATACTTCAAAGACATTAATAATGCCAAAATACTTACTTTGAGTTTTTGTAAAATAGTGCCAGAGGTCTTGTTAAAGTTGCAAATATTTTTCGAATCATGGAAGGCAAAGAAATATGTCCAAGTACATTGGAAAGAATACTGGTGATTGAGTTGCCAATAGCGAGGAGAGTATCAGAATGTACTTCCTTGAGGCTCAGAGTGTGAAAAGAATAGATGACTCTCACAATAAGTTTAATTAAAGAAGCCAATTTCCCCAGAGGCTCCTTCTTCTTTTTGGACCAATCTGAAGGTCTCTTCAGTGCTAAGATAAAATTGAATTTGTTAAAAACTGAAGTATTTTGGAAAGTGTCACTGTCCCTCTTTACACTGAACATTTAAATGACAGATATACCTAATACAGCTGCTTCTGTAGTAATACCCACAAATCTTTAAATTATATACATACCATTAATGGATAAATATTACTACAACAGTACTTTTAAAACAAAATTAGAGATTAAAAAAAACTGGGCAGGTCTATAAGAAGAATTCTGAAAAAAAAATTGTTTTTTTCTCTAAGAAATTACAAAATCCATTTCGAATTTCAATTTATAGCCTCGAAATTTCAACAACTAATTTATAAGAAAGCATTAAATTATATGATAGGTTCCAAAACTAAATTTGAAGAGTTATCTTAAAAACTTTCCTTAGAAACTACTGCTTCCTGGCTTACCTATAGAGTACACACTGAATCCAGTAACACTGAACAAGTCAGAGATCCAAATTCTCAAAAGAATAAAACAAAACAAAACAAAACAAAACAGAAGGCCTAGATTTAAAGAAAAAAATGTTATCTTAAAAGCACCATCCAACTTTCCTTCATACCTTTCTGAGACTACATCTTTCTTAACATACCTAACTGTAGGGGATAAACCCATATTTGCCTTGTGAAGAAAACTATACCCATTCCAAAATTACCTCTGTTTCCCCTCAAAGAATCCATTTTTTTAAAGGTAAGATATGTTAGAGATTCAGGAGAAAACTCTAATTCAGTGTTTATTAATTAAAATATCATGAAAAACAAGTGCTGCTATTAAAAGGAAGTCAAGCAATATTCTTCCCCAAAAACTGCCTCCCAGACATAAATATAAATTTGAAAGGCTGTCCAAAAATTCTTGGACAGACAATGAGCCTCAGAAAGCCCATGGGTCAGGAGACTGGTTACATACAAGAAACTCATTAAACAGTAAATATACCGAGGGTGGTGGGGGCCAAGATTCTCACTATTAGAGAAGATAGGTAAATGCTAAAAAGGGTAAGACTCAAATAAACCATTCAATACTAGATGGTAACTGAAAGTGTATCAAGAGAAACAGTTCACAAACACACCTATTTCTTCTACTTCTGTCCACTGAGAGGATCCAGAAGTAGTGAACTTTAGTAGCAATGAACAAATCTTAGAGCTTCTAAACGTCATTCTCAGCTAAAACAAACCATGTCCCTTGTAAATATAAACTCTCACTTTGGGAATTATAGTGTTCCACACAAAAGGTATCAATGAATGATAAACTGATGGCTGTTAAGTTTGCTGAGGAACAGGATATTTACATATCTTAAAGCATCTGCCACAAACATTTATTTACTAATTTACTTTACAGTGGAAAACCTGGCAGATGTCATCTTAACCAAATAGCAAGTATTAACAATAATGGGACAAATCGGCAGTGTGTGTGCCTGCCATATTGCACTGGAAAAAACCTGCAGCATTACACTTCAGTAGTATCCATGAAGAAATGAATGAAAACTGAATCTAATCTTAAAAAAATATTGACAAGCCCAGACTGAAGGATATTCAAAAAGTAAATAGCCTATGCTCTTCACTTTTCAAAGTCATCAAAGACAAGACTCACGAACTGTTTCACATTGAGAACTTGTCTACAACTACTCTGAAATGGTCCGAGGGGTGGGGGAAGAATGACTAAAATGTATATATGGGGTAAATAGTAAGAAACGTGCAATCAACTGTTAACTAAGAAGTCTACAGAATGTAAAGCGCCAGTGTATAATTCTTGTAATTTTTGTATAAAACAAGTAAGTTATCAAAACCCCCAAGTGATCCTGGTACATATCCATGAATATTGTTTCTACTACTTCTAATTTCCCCACCTCTCCTCTGCAGGCAGATTATTTAGAGATTACCTCCAGTTTCCATATTTAAATAGCAAGAACACCTCTTCTAAGATCAGTGAAAGACAAATTTATACTTGTGGACTTAATTCTAACTTTTCAGAATTAACAAAATAGGTTAAAACTGTGTCCACATGGCGATTACCATCATGGCCTTATTAAGCTTCAAGTGGCTTACAAAATAATGTCATATATTTGTTATAAACCTTTTTATAGTTATGGCATTTAGAAATAACTTTATTTTTGTAACATACTGAGGTTATCAGATTAGGTCCTGCTCAGCCCAAGAGTAGTGCTGAGGCAAAAAATTTGAGTATCTATAACCTATTTCTGTGGCACTCAGGTTGAGATGCTGACTTTTAAGAAACTTTAGACACTTAACCTGTTTCTCTGTATTACCATTTAGTAAAAACTGAAACATCAAAAAAAAAAAAACCCTCTAAAAATATTCTATGTTCTAGAAATAGTCACATCAATTCATCAGTAGAGATCTTATTTAAAAAAATTATGTTCCTAATCTTTATTCAAGAAAAGCAGTATCTTTACATACTGCTGGAAAGTTATTTTCTATATAGTATACACATATGGAGTGGTGGAAACATTTAATTTCAGAGAATCAGTTACATTAAAGCAGCTCAGTATTTATTACAACATAAGTTAGAATTAACCAAGGCTTGCAGTTTTAAAAAGCATACCACTTACTATGTCAATTGTCCAATTTTAACTGAAAAACTAAGCTAAATTTTTAGGATCATTTTAAGTTTTCCACAAATCATAACTAATTAAACCACTGCATGCTTTTCTACTCAATTTAATAGTAGCTCAATAATTACTTCAAATCAAGCTACCACGTAAGAACATTTTAACAAACATTAAAGTTTCTTGCCCAGAAAGCCCCCTTTATGCAATGCAGTTAAGTAAAATCACTTGTATTATTAGGTGTCTAAACAGTATAATGCTTATCTTTCTAAGTGAAAAAAAGAATAAATACATTTTGTGTGTGTGTGAAATCATGAGTGCACCTTTTAGCTCCTAGCATAGTAACTGACATGGTTTTATAAATGTCAAAAGCAGATAAATGAGGTGGGAAAAAACTATGAGGACTTGCTGTAACAGTTCAGGCAGCCATGTTTACAAAATATTTGGTGAACAAATAAAGGTAAAGAAAATACTTACATTTAACTCTGGATTGAATTTTAATATCATATGGTGAGAAGTCGATGCAATCAACCATTACCGTAATAATATTAATGGTTCTATCCAAAAATAATAGATTCTAGGGAAGAATATTTGAAAGTATTACATTAGAACCTTTCAATTATTGGCATAGTTTTCAAAAATAGTAAGCAGCAACAAAAATATATTTTAAAACTTGTCCTTCCATATATAATATTTAATAACATACAAGACATGGCTTCTACCATATAACCTACTTTAAGATTATCAGTACGAATATTTCAAAGTTAATTTTTGTATGCCAAGTACTATACTTTTGTTTCTCAACATGTAGAGAAAATAGTTTAGCTTTAAGATGCCCATAAAACTGAGTCATGCAAACCAATAAATTGAGAATGGAAGAGCTAGGTTCATAATTAGATGCTTTATCAAATTCCTTTAGAAAACTCTCTTCATCAAACCCAGGAAAAACAAAAAAATTTCAAAAGGTTGTTAAGCTTCTGCATACCCCTTCCGCACACCCTTCCCTCCTCCACTAATTCAAATGAATTAAAAATAAACCCATAAAAATATCAGAAAATTTTGTGAAAATTTATTTAAAGACAAGGGTCAAGTGGGAATGTAGGGACAGGTTTTTGAGGAAGGCTAAAAACAGAAGGAAATCCCAGCACTACAAGTCAAAGACAGCTTTCTTAGGAGAACCTAAATAATGAAAGACACCTTGAGGGTTCTGTGAAAAAAATCTGATGGTTATTAAAAACACAAATGGTTGCCCTGAATGGGTGACTCAGCTGGCTGGAGCATCATGCTGAACAACTAAAAAATTGCGAGGTCAATCCCCAGTCAGGGCATATATTAAAGTTACTGTTTTTTTGTTGTTGTTGTTGTGGGCTTTTCTAAGATCATTATTTATTTATTTTTAGAGAGGGAAAGGAAGAGAGAGAGAGAGAGACAGACAGAAACATCAATATGTGGTCAACTATTGAGTGCCCCTCACTGGGGACCTGGCCTGCAACTCAGGCATATGCCCTGACTGGGAATTGAACAGGTGACCCTTTGGTTCCCAGGCCAGTGCTCAATCCACTGAGCCACACCAGCCAGGGCTATGTTGAGGGTTTGATCCGCCATTGGGACATGGACAAGAGACAACCAACTGATCAATGATTCACTCTCATATCAATGTTTCTTTCTCCCCCTTTCTCTATCTGTAAAATCAACAAATATATCCTCAGGTGAAGAATAAAAAACAAACAAAAAACCCCACAAAAAAAACAAAACACAAACAGTTAATTAAGAAACTACAGAAATTTAAAATCTATAAAACAGTCAGTCTATTCTTCCTTTAATTCTCCATTACCTTACTCTAGTCCACTTCACTGGACTAATTCACATGTCTGCTTTCAAAGACAGCCTCCCCCCCATGGTTGCTAAGGGACAGGAGGAGGAAGGCAGTGCCCGACTACCCTGTAAAACTATGTGGAATGTCAGTCCAGATGACAACTTACATGCTCATATAAAAAAGGTGCTTTCTTCTCATGTACAATGACAAGGTAAAAGATGACTATAGCTATAATTTGCTAACAAAGCCAGAAAACAGAAGCTCTCTCTTGGATTAGAAAACACTGCAACTACTATTATTCAATATTAATATTCCTGTTGACAAATATGCAAAATCATGACAAACAGTATTGTAAGAAATGCAAAATACCAATAGAATTAACCATGAAGAAAAGAGCTAATAAGTAGAAACTAATACTATTCCCCAAAGTCAGAGGGAATCCTACCTACTTAACATTAAATGTAAACAAAAACTTCATCAAGTATCTCGACATTTTAACTGCAAAGGAAGGACTGCAGAAATATCAAGCTACCAGAAAGCAGTACCAAAAGCAAAACGCAAACACACGTAGAGGAAGAAAAGGGATGCAAGACTAACACCAAAGGTCTAAAAACCATGTAAAATGGTACTCAAAAAAAGAACAGAGGAGTACCAGTAAAGCAAGGCAACTTTCCTGAGAGGACAACACAGGTCTTAAGATAGAAAGGGTCAAAAGACCCAAGATGGCAGAAAAGTAAGTGGAAGCTACACTAACCTCCTCCTAGGATGAATTTGTAACTACAACCAAAACTGTATAGAAACCATCCAGAATAACCAAGTGAACACCAGCTGGAGAGAAGCTTTATAACCACACACAGACGGAAGAAACCACTTCACCACAAGATGACTGGTAGAGACATGAAGGATTGGGCTGGGCTCCCATGGGCACCAGCTAAAGATGAAAGGGGTATTTTCACATCTGGGGGATTCCCCTGAGAAGTGTGTGGTCTAAACTCAAAGCTAGACTCCCCAGGCTACAACACCAGAGGCAGAAATAAATCTAACATTGAGCTATGAAAAGCAACAGGGTTTCTGTCTGCCAAGGCGAGACAGCTGGAGATTCAGAGAGCCTCTTAAAGGGCCAATACACAAAATTTTTACAGCCACTACCCTTGGACACAGGAAGGACAGGGTGGATTAGACAAACATGAGGAGACTCTTGAGGATGGTGGCTCTGGGGAGAGAACTGAAGGAACATCCACCAGCGTTCCTATCCTGGAGGAGCCATCTCTTGCAGGCAGAGCACTCCCCTCCAAGTGATTCAACCACAGGGAAAGCAATAGCTCCGCCCATAGGAATTACTCTGCTGTACCCCGTGGAGCTTAAACTGGGATGCTGAGTACAGCTTGATTAGTTTAGTGACTGATTGGTTTAAATGGCGATTAGTTCAACAGCTAAGGCAGAAAACACAAAGCTGTAGCTAAAATGGGAAGAAAAAAAAAAACAGACCCCAAATGAAAAAACAAGAGAATCCTTTAGAAGAAGTGCTAGATGATAGGAAGGCAAGCAATTTATCAGATTTAGAGTAATGATTATAAGAATATGCAAAAGCATATCCCCCCACAGAAACCATAAAAAAGGGCCAGTCAAAGATAAATAATACAATATCTGAAATAAATAATGCACTAGAAGGGATAAACAGTAGTTTAGATGAGGCGGAGGATCGCATCACTGATTTAGAAGACAAAGTAGAAAAAACACCCAGGCAGAGAAGCCAAATGAAACAAGAAGAAAAAAAGGAGAAGAGCTCAAGAAACATGTGGGATATCATGAAGCATAACAACATCTGCATCATGTGAATATACTAGGGAGAGGAGAGAGTACCCAAGGGATCCAGAAGCTATCTGAAGAAATAACGACCAGAAAGTTTCCTAATCTGGTGAAGGAAAAAGACACACAAGTCCAGGAAGCTGAGAGAGTTCTAAACAAGTTGGATCCAAAAAGGCCTCCACTGAGACACATCATAATTAAAATGACAAGGCTTAAAGACACACACAGAATCTTACAAGCCGCACGAGAAAAGCAGAGTTACTACAAGGAAGCACTGAGTAGAATGCCATCTGGTTACTCAAGAGAAACATTTCAGGCCAAAAGGGAGTAGTGTAAAATATTCAAGGTGATGAAAACCAAGGACCCACAACCAATAATCCTTTACCCAGCAAGGCTGTTTTAAAATCAAAGGAAAAATAAGCAGGTTCCTAGTCAAGAAAAAGCTAAAGTAGTTTGGTGTTAGGTTAACAACAAACAAGTACTGCAACAAGTGTTAAAGCAGAGGTGTCCAACCTTTTGGCATCTCTGGGTCACACTGAAAGAGGAGCTGTCTTGAGCCACACATTAAATACACAAATATTAGCAAAAACTGATGGGCATAAAAAAGGTCTGTGTATAATTTTTGTGATTTTGTAATTTTATCTGCCACCACAGATAAGCAAAAAAGTCCTGATATAATAACCCTATTTATGCAGCTGCCTTTATAATTTTTAATATCATCAAGCAGGTCCCAAGTTTGTGATCACTAATACAGAAAATGTACATAACTAATAAAACTTAGTAAAAAACTAAGTAATGATTTAAGCTAATTTACGATTTAGTGTTGGGCCACATTCATAGCCATCCGGATCCACATGCAGCCCACAAGACATGGGAGGGACACTCCTGTGTTAAATGGCTTGCTTTAAGAAGAAAAAAAGAAGAAAAAAATCAGAGGAAAACAGTGTAACAATAAAATGGCACTACATTCATATGTATCAGTAATCACTTTAAAGGTAAATGGCTTAAATGCAAAAGATAGGGTAGCTGAATAGATAAGGAAACAAGACCCATGTTTATGCTGCCTCCAACACACAAGATCAAAAGATATTGACTAAAACTAAAGGGACAGAAAAAGATAGTTCATGCAAATGGGAAAAAAAAAGCTGGGGTATAGTACTTATAGACAATAAAATAGACATTAAAATGATATAAGAGTCAAAGAAGGATACTACATAGTGATAAAGGGAACAATCCAACAGGAGTATAAAAATCTAATAAACATTTACATACTCAACATAGGAACACCTAGATATATAAAGCAAATTTTGATGGACATAAAAAAGAGATCAACAAAAACACATAGTTGAGGACTTTTAACATCCCACTGACTTCAATGGATATATCTCCGATGCTGAAAATCAACAAAGAGACAGTGGCCCTAGAAAACATACTACATCAAATGGTATAATTGATATCTTCAGAGGATTTCACCCCAAAGCAACAGAATATACAGTTTTTAAGTGCACGTGAACATTTTCTAGGACAGACACAACACATTAGGACACAGAACAAATCTCAATAAATTTACAGACTGAAATCATATCAAGCATCTTCTGACTACAATGTTAGATTAGAAATCAATCACAAGAACACTGAAAAACATGCAAGGACATGGAAGCTAAATAACATGTTATTAAAGAATGGACCAACAAGATCAAGAAAGAAATCAGTAAAGATATCTCATAACAAATAAGAAAACACAGGATCCAAATCTGTGGGACACTGGGAAAGCAATCCTAAGAGGGAAATGTATAGCATTACAGGCCTATCTCAAAAAAATAAGAAAAATCTCAAATAAACCATCCAATTTCACACTTAAAGGAACTTGAAAAGCAACAAAAGCCCAAAGTAGGCAGAAGTGAAGGAAATAAAAGATCAGAGCAGAAACAAATGAAAGAGACTAAAAAAGT